TGTTTTCCTCTAAGAGTTTTATAGTGTCTGGTCTTACATTTAGGTCTCTAATCCATTTTGAGTTTATTTTTGTGTATGGTGTTAGGGAGTATTCTAATTTCATTCTTTTACATGTAGCTGTCCAGTTTTCCCAGCACCACTTATTGAAGAGACTGTCTTTTCTCCATTGTATACCCTTGCCTCCTTTGTCATAGATTAGTTGACCATAGGTGAATGCGTTTATCTCTGGGCTTTCTATCCTGTTCCATTGATCTATATTTCTGTTTTTGTGCCAGTACCATATTGTCTTGATTACTGTAGCTTTGTAGTATAGTCTGAAGGCTGGGAGCCTGATTCCTCCAGCTCCATTTTTTTCCCTCAAGACTGCTTTGGCTATTCGAGGTCTCTTGTGTCTCCTTACAAATTTTAAGATTTTTGTTCTAGTTCTGTAAAAAATACCATTGGTAATTTGATAGGGATTGCATTGAATCTGTAGATTGCTTTGGGTAGTATAGTCATTTTCACAATATCTTCCAGTCCAAGAACATGGTATATCTCTCCATCTGTTTGTATCATCTTTAATTTCTTTCATCAGTGTCTTATAGTTTTCTGCATACAGGTCTTTTGTCTCCTTAGGTAGGTTTAACCCTAGGTATTTTATTCTTTTTGTTGCAGTGGTAAGTGGAAGTGTTTCCTTAATTTCTTAGAAGAGGTATATTTTTAATGGAAACCTTCAATGACAACAATAATTAGCTATTCCATAGCTAATGGTCAGGCTGGTGGGGGGAGATGCTTTGAATAGGAAGCATCTATAGGGCCTCTCATGCCCCAGCTCTGCTGTGCAACTACGATCTTGTGTTTCACGGTGTTATGTATCTTGACTTAGATTTACATCTTCATTTGTTTGTTTAATGCCAGGCTCCCCAACTAGTCTGTGAGCTCCACTGGGGTGGGGGCTCGGTCTGTTTTGTTCACTGCTAAATGCCCAGAGCTTAGCACAGTGCCTGGCACACAGGAGCACTCTGATGAATGCTGGGGAGAAAAACCTCTAGAGTGACATTCGGTGAAGCGAGTGGAGACTGGGAAGCAGAGCCTACGACACTGGCACTGTCTAGTCAGAGAGGATGCAGTCTCATGATTCTCAGAGCCTGAGCCCCTGGTTCACCTGAAGTCTTAAGCTGGAGTCCCTTCCTCCTTTTTGAAGAGAGCATCGCTCACTGTCTCCTCGCCCCCTTCCACTGGGGCCCAGCCAAGCCTCCAAAAGGCCCCAGGCAGCACAGTTTGAAAACAACTGATTCAATCCCTTCATTTTACAGAGAAAGAAACCCATGGAAAGTGGAGAAACGTGGAAAGGTGACAAAGGTAAGAGACAGAAGACAAAAAAAGTGTATGTCAGAGAAAGAATCTGCTTTGTCATATTTTCCCCTGACAGCTCTTCACTGTAATTCAAGAACACCCGTCAGAGCTGTTCTCCCTCATCTGGGAATTAACTGTGAGAAACATCCCGCCTGGCCTGGAAACAAAAGAGGCCTGGAGAGAGTGTCAGGGGCTTGGTGTCCAAGAGGAACCAAGCGGCTGGAGGAGGTGGCTTTGAGGATCCTGATGATTAAGAGGGTGTGTACGTTGTAAAGGGCCCATCTGGGAAATAGCAGCCACGTTGAGACGTTGAGGACAAAGGCTTTTTTGTCCTTTGCCACCCGTGAGGCAATGCTTTTCTGAGCAGCTCTAATTATAAATCCCTGTCCCGCTAAGATGGGTAAACTTGGCAGCATTTGAGGTCTGCCTTGTGTCTTGACTATTTCTCAGTTGGTTTAGGTTTGGCAAAACCCCAAGTGCATTTTGCCAAGCACTCTTTCCCTTAATTTCTAATCCCCTGAGTGGCTTAAGGGAAATTTCATCCATATGTTTCTGAGTCATTTACTGTGAACTCATCTTTTTGGTAAAAGAAATATGTTCCCAAGCCAACACAGTCTAGAGAATAGCAAATTTTTCAGGCTGAAACAGGTCATGCTTTCTTTGGGAAGAATTTCCTGAGTTTTCTGAGTACAAGTAGGAGGGAAGGAGAACAACATTTCCTGTTCTCATATTCCTTCCCCTGCCTGCATGTCCTTTCTTAAGGCTTAGTTGAAAACCTCCTCTATTTTCTAGGAAGCTGGTGAATGCCATATTTGCATTTGGATCTAAACAAACTCTATAGACTTGTCATTTCGACACAAATTCTCCTTTTTAACCTACATTGGAAAAGAAACAAGCAATTATTGAACACATATACTACATGGCAGGTGCATCTTAGCGGCCTGGTGAGATAGACATTATTCTCACATATAAAGAGTCTGAGACTAAAAAATATTAAGTTAATTAGACAAGGCATGAACTTAATAAAAGGCAAAGTCAGAATTCACATCTGGGGCTGTCAGTTTCCCAAGTTCATGCTCCTTCCATCTGTCCATGCTCGTTCTCATGCACAGAGAGGAGGCCCAACACGTTCTAGTTGATAATCATCATGGAGCTAATGATGAATTCTGGCCAGATGTTTTTAGTAAAGTCAACAGAGACTAGATTTGACATTATTGAAAAATAGTTATCTTCTTTTCTATTACCTCAGGAGACTTTGGGACGTACTTACTCACTGTGGGGAGATGTCATACATAGAAATTATGAGTCTTGATCATACTACTATATATAAAATAATCAACAAAGATCTACTGTATAGCACAGGGAACTCTACTCAATATTCCATAATAATATATGTGGGAAAAGAATCTGAAAAAGAATGGGTATATGTATATGCATAACTGAATCACTTTGCTGTACACCTGAAACTAACACAACATTGTAAATCAACCATACTCTGATATAAAATTAAAATTAAATTATAGAAAAGAAATTGTCAGTCTTGGAAGTGAACTCTTCTATATTACTAATATCCAAGGTATAACTCTTAGTTTACAGAAATTACAGGTAATCAAGGAACACGTTAAACAATACCATGAGGATGCAATCAGCAAAATCCAGAATGTTGAAAATTCTGTGAGACAGATGGCCCAGTTTCTTCAATAAACAAATGGCTAGGGGGAAAAAAGAGGGCAAGGAAGCCTATAGATTAGAAAATGCAAGAGACATTTCAATGGAATGCAATGTGTGGATCTTATTCGGGTGCTGATTTGAGCAAACCAAGAGTAAAAAGAAATCATGAGCTAATCAGGGAAATTTAAGCGCTGCCTGAATATTTTATAATATTAACAAATTATTGGGTCTTTTTTTTAGATGTGATGAGGGTATTGTGATTGTTTTAAAAAAAAAAGAGAGATAGACCTTATCTCTTAGAAATACTACTTAAGTAAAACTTTATGTTGCCTTGGACTTGTTTTAAAGTAATCTGGGGTGGGGAGGATGTTGCGAATGGGATGAGGGGACAGATAAAAGGAGACTGGCCACATTTGAACAAGGATTGAAGCTGGGTGATAGGTACAAGGGGTTCATTATATTAGTCAGACAGATGTTTATATGTTTAAAAGTGTCCATAATTTTAAAATTGTTATGATTATAATGATCAAAGTTATTCTAATTAATTTAATATTTCCCCTTTTCTCCCACATTTGCATCTTAATCTTTACAACAACTCCATGAGGTCTGACATGAACATGCTATGGGTTTTTGTGGTGGTAGTGGTGGTTTAAAAGAAGAAAAGGAAGGAGGGAAGAAAGGAAGGGAGGGAGGGAGGAAGGAAGGGAGGGAGGGAGGAAGGAAGGAAGGGAGGAAGGAAGGGAGGGACTAAGGAGGAAAGAGAAGGAAATGGAAGGGAAGGGAAGGGAAGAAAAGCTGAGCTACTGGAGGAGAAGGGAAGTAATTTCTTGACAAAGAGAGTCAATTTTCTGCAGATTCAAGTCCCCAAATACCTGGAATTCATGTGTGTTCAGTCTTAGCCTCTTGACTCTCTGATATCTGGATTGTAGAACTGAACTACAGGCGTGGGCCTAGGTGCCAGGACCTAGGTAAAGGAGCACTTCACCTTGGCTTTTGTCCCTGACTCCATGGAGTTTCCTTTAATGTTGACCTTTTAAAGCTGCTCTCAATAATCTGCACCATAAAGGATATTGGACAGCAAGCGGCAGACATACTTGTAATATTCTTCTTTAAAAAAAAAAAAACAACAACTCCCAGATATTTTGTTTCTTGGATGAAGTTGCTGAGGAAACAATTATGAGTGATGTTAGGCTGATGGTAAAGTAAATGTATGCTCCCTCTCAGGTATCACATGAAAATGAGAGTAAGAACTTTACATTCAGTTGTATAACATCATGTGCTTTCTTCTGTAACTTTTTTTAACAGACATTTTCTAATATACATAAAGAGAACGCATAGGATATGACCTGCTTCCATGATGTCCAGCTCTAACAGTTGTCAATAACCATATTATGTCATCTATGCCTTTCCTTCCCTCCCTGCCAATGGATTATTTAAAAACAAATTCCAAGCATCCTTATCGTATCATCTGTAGAAGTTCTGTGTGCATCTCTTTTTATTTCAGATAAATGGGATTAATAGATGAGCCGCAGATGTATCTGTAGAGCGAAGACTACACCCAGAGATAACCAGTCTTGTGGCTTTGGAGGTAGGAGGAGACGGTAGGGCAGTTGGCAGAGGCTGCGAGGAAGCACGGCAGCGGGTACTGCGTCAACAGTGAGAACCGCAGATTAGAGGCCCAGAGCCCTGCCTGAGCGCTGCAGTTTCAAGGAGGGGACTTCCGTATCCGATGCCGGAAGCTGGGCAGGGCTGATTATGGAGCGGAGCAGGGAGCATCTGATCCTCTACGATCACCACCTGGGCAGCGTCAACGTGACGGCATCAGAGCTGCCAGGGAGGGAGCCGCGCGGAGGGAGAGTCCAGGTTTGGGACACTGAAAATTGTTCATTTGGTCTGTCAAAACGTTTATTCCCACCCAATTTGATAGAACCCTTTCTAAACCTTTTTTTTTTCCTTTCTTTTTTGCGGTACGCGGGCCTCTCGCTGCCGTGGCCTCTCCCATTGCGGAGCACAGGCTCCGGACGCGCAGGCCTAGCGGCCATGGCCCACGGGCCCAGCCGCTCCGCGGCACGTGGTATCTCCCCGGACCAGGGCACGAACCCGTGTCCGCTGCATCGGCAGGCGGACTCCCAACCACTGCGCCACCAGGGAAACCCGTTTCTAAACCATTTTACACACTCCTCTGCCTTCCTAAGGAGAGAAGTGCAGGGAACTTTAAGCCGTTTCTTAATGACTTCAAGGCATTACCATCAAGGACAGTTTTGTGTTGACCTCACGTATGGCCATGCCTCCAGCGACTGAGAATTATTTTACATGTGTGCTCCTAAACCAAAGGGCCACTAGATTTTTCTTTTTTTTTTCTTTTGAAGTATTTATTTACTTGTTTTGGCTGCACAGGGTCCTAGTTGCAGCGTGTGGGATCTTTAGTTGCCGCTAGCAGGATCTAGTTCCCTGAACAGGGATCGAACCCCGGCCCACTGCATTGGGAGCACGGAGTCTTAACCACTGGACCACCAGGGAAGTCCCTAGATTTTTCTTTTTCTTTTTTAAATTGAAGTATAGTTGATTTACAATATTGTGTTGGTTTCAGGAGTGATTCAGTTACATATATATGTATTTTTTCAGATTATACTCAATATCTTATAATAATCTATCTTTTTTATTTTAATAGGATAAGGTGAAGGTGGAAGGCATTGTCTCTGCTCTCCTGTCAGCTGTCACTTTTTACAGCCATCAACATACCTGGTGGTAAGAACCACTTCTGTTATGCTTCTAATGTGATGCTTCTAACCAGGCTGTGAATATTGTTACACCTGTGTCTGAGGTAAGAGTAAACTGACTGTGCGTGAGAATCCAGGAGACTCACTTTGGGGTAAAGTGTATGGATTTTGTGACACCAGTTTTGTGTCTTCAGAATCTCTTTGTGGCTTGCTTTTTAGTTATTAGCTAAGTCCTGGGTAGTTAAGGCTGCTGAGTAGGTGATACATTACTTCTGTATTGCTCACAGCTGTTTGACACAAGCTCAAGAAAGACCCTAAATCAGATCTCAGCATCTCCCAGAGATAAGAAAATGATAGCAAGGCATAGGACATGAGCAGTAAGTAGCCTGAAACTATAGATACACCATGGTAAAAACATCCTCTTGGATATCCCTGGGTCTTGGTGGGAGAGAATTGAGAATGGAAATAGTAATTTTCTAAAGTATGTTTTATTCAAAAAAACAAAACAAAAAGACACAGAACTTATCTTTAAGAATGCATTCAACTACATAAAAATCAGTAAGTCTGGGAGTGAAAAGATGCTCATCCAATGAAGTGGATGAAAGATGGTTTCCCAAAACATAACATAAACCTTTGCATACAGCTAAGAAAGCAAGGCCAGAGTGCTCAACCCCCCAGATTTGTGCTACAAGTTTCAGCTGCCCACAGGAAGTGCAGGTGGTTACCTTTCCAGTTATCTTCCTGCCTTGCTCAGCAAGAAGACCCTGTGTTTTAGATTTATTTTGACCAACAGGGACGTGTAGTTGGCGTGCTGGAAATGAGGACCGTCTTAGGTGAGAAGCTCCTGACGTTCTGGTGTTCTGAGTTACGGGAAATTGGGATGCAAGATGCTGGCAGACAAGGGTTCTGGGTGTTAGGAAAGAAGGTTCTCAAACTGCAGAGAAAAGATGGAAATATTATGAACTGAGGCCCTGTAGCGTTGACTGTCAACCCTCACTGTGCAGTAAATTCATCTGGGGAATTTTGTTCATTGAACTTTCCTGATTGAGGTATAATTTATATTAATCAAGTGTATAGATATAAATGTACCACATTTAAGACCCCACTTTGAAAATGAATTTGGACAAATGCATATGCTTTGTAACCCACACCACTATCAAGATGCAGGACAACTCTGCCATCCCTGAATGACCCCTCGTGAGCTTCCCAGAAAGCCCCCCTTTTTTACAAGCAACCTATGTTCAGATCCCTGTCTCCATATCTTGTGCCTATTCTAGAACTTCGTATAAATGGAGTCATATAGTAGGTACTTTGTGTGTGTGGGGGGTGGTTTTCACTCAGCATCATGATTTTGAGGTACATCCATGTTGTCACATGAATCAGTAGTTTTCTCCTTTTCTGTTACCAAATCGTATCTTATTATGTGGATATACCACAATGCATTCATCCATTCTGTAGTTGAGGGACATTTGGATTGTTTCCAGTTTGGGGCTGTTATTAATGAAGCTGCTGAGTCTTTTCGTGTGCATGTATTTTCACTTCTCTTGGATGAAAACCTTGAAGCAATGTTGTCATTGGGTAGGTGTATGTTTCACTTTATGAGAACCTGCCAGACCAATTTCCAAAGTGGTCACATCATTTTGTTCTCCCAGCAGAAATGAATGAGAGTTCTAGTTGCTCTGCCGTCGTCAGTATTCTTTTAATTTTAGCCATTAGTTGGTATCTCATTTTGGTTTTAATTTGCATTTCCCTGGTGACTAATGATATTGAACACTTTTTCATGTGCTTATTGGCTGTCTGTATTTTTTCTTTTGTGACGTGCCTAGTCAAGCTTTTTGGCCAGCTTTTCAGTTGGGCTATTTGTGTTTTTAATTACTGAGTTATAGGAATTGCTAAAATATCCTGGATACAAGTCCTTTGTCAGATACACATGTGGCAAATATTTTCTCCAGGTCTGACTTGTTTCCTCTTTTTATTAGCAGTATATTTTAATGGGCAGAAGTTTTTCATTTTAATGAAGTCCATTTTAACACTTTTTAAAATGATTATCTGGGTAACCTAAAAAAAAATACCCATGACTTGGCCCTACCCCAGAGATCTGGTTCAACTAGTCTGTGTTGGGGCCAAGCATCAGTGCTTTTTAAAGATTCCTTCATTCTTTCCACTGTGCAGCCAGGGTTGAGAACCCCAGAACTAAAGGGAAATACGACTTGAAATATAGAGGGCTCTAAAAAATGAAATTCTGAAAATATGATAAGGCATAATCCCAGTTAATGTCAAGGAGGTACCTAAAATCCCCTGTTCATCAGCACAGGAAATGTTTACAATGAGGAGACAGAGTCGGCAGGTAAGGACAGGCTATGGTGCTGTTACAGCTCTGGCCTCAGGCCTGTGGGATGCTCAGAGAGGAAGAAAATGGACCTTAGAAAATTGTGTTTGGGGCAAGAAGATGAACAAGAAAGGCAACATCCTAGAGTAGCTGGGAAAACAGATGATGGGAGTGCCCAGCTGGGGTTTTATTTCTGCCCTTGCCATCTGGAAACAGAATCTCCAACACCAGTAAAATGGAACATAGGTGGTTAAGAGGGAACAGTAGCTGAAGATGGATGAAGAGGCAGCGAGGGAGACCTGAGTGGCTCCCAATGAGTTCAGGTCTCCAGGCCGTGTGAATCACAGCCCTGGGAACGGGAGGACCTTGAGAGGTAATTGAGGAATCATTCTGTAATCTTTGAAAATCACGGATCAAGGGAACAGTGCCAGAAAACGAGAAAATGCTCCAAGTTTCAAAAATGGCGCTGTCAGAAACCATCAGGTCACAACAGTGTCCAGCAGCTGTCCTGGGGATGTGCCCCTTGAAGACTGGGCAGCCGCAGGCAGTCCCCAGGAAGCTCCCTGCCCCCCCACCACACACACACAAAGCAGCTTTGACTTCAAATCCAGTTGACAAGACTCTCCTCTGGGGATAAATCCTATGAACACAGGCCCTGCCCAGCCCTGCTTCACTACATTTTTAGCTTCTCTTATATGAGTAATAATTCTGTCATTAGTTATTTACATTTATTGCACACCTACTATATGCTATGCTACTATATACGTTTCTCAAGTTCTAAAACTCCTGAGTCCTCAGGAATACAGGCTCAGCCCAGACAGAGATCCAAAGACCTCTGTTTGAAAAGCACTGGATTAAAAGTTAAGAGCCAGTAGATGGATAAATAAACTGTGGGACATCTAGACAACTGAATATTGTTCAGCACTAAAACAAAATGAGCTATGAAGACACAAAAAGACTTGGAGGAACCTTAAGTGCATATTACTAAGTAAAAGAAGCCAATCTGAAAAGACTATGTACTACATGATTCCAACTATATGACATTCTGGAAAAGACCAAACTGTACAGTAAGAAGATCAGTGGTTGCCAGGGATGCAGGGGGAGGAAAAGAAGGATGAATACACAGAGCACAGAGGATTTTTAGAGAGGCGAGACTCTTCTGTATGATACTATAATGGTGGATACACGTCATTGTACATTTGTCCAAACCCATAGCATGTGCAGCACTGTGAGTGAACCCTAATGTGAACTGTGGACTTTGGGTGATAATGATGTGCCAGTGTGGGTTCACTGACTGTCACAAATGTACCCTCTCATAGGGGGGATGTCGATGGTGAGGGAGGCTCTGCATGTGTGGGGCACGGAGCATATGGGAACTGTGTACTTCCACTCAGTTTTGCTCTGAACCTAAAACTGCTCTAAACAATAAAGTCTGTGTTTAAAAATTAAACAGTTAAGAACAGAAAATAAAATTTTTGTAGAGAACATTTGGGCCCCTCAAAGTATACCCATGCACCCAATTGAAGAAATAGTGTGTGACATGCTTCATATGCATTCTTTCTAATTCTTAAAGTCACCTGCAGGATACATATTATTATTTTTCAAATTTTAGAGATGATTTAACTGGGACAGGTTTTTTTTTTTTTTTTTTTTTTCGCGGTACTTGGACCTCTCACTGTTGTGGCCTCTCCCGTTGTGGAGCACAGGCTCCGGACGCGCAGCCTCAGCGGCCATGGCTCATAGGCCCAGCCGCTCCGCAGCATGTGGGATCCTCCCGGACCGGGGCACGAATCCGTGTCCCCTGCATTGGCAGGCGGACTCTCAACCACTGCGCCACCAGGGAAGCCCTTAACTGGGACAGGTTTAAGGAAAGTGACCCAAGTCGCATTGCAAGTAACTGGCAGGACAGGATTAAACTCAGGTCTTCCATGAGGGTGAAAAATGCATGCCCTTGACAGTGACTCCTCACTGCCTCCCACCTCGACCTCCACTTATCTGTTGTGCACTTACCTGGATTCAGCACCGTCTCAGACCTTTCTCAGCGTGACTTTGTATGCGTGCTCCTCCTTTGACCTCCTCTTAGCCCAGCCCTCAGTCTTAATTCCCAGGCCTGCTGACCAAATACTTGCCAACCTCATTCTAAGATGGCCAGCCCCTTATGCAGCACTCTTTCTATCTCTAGCTTTGATTCTGCCCTAACCCCCACCTGTATACCCAGCCGTGCCTTGCCCAGCCCAGCCCAGCAGCAGGAATCAGAGCCTTGTCCTGGCTCAAGGCCCAATCATAGCAATTTGAGCCATGAAATGGAAGAACTCAGGGCCTCTTCTGCTGCATCTAGAGGAGACCACATCTTCATCACTTCCAGGAAGTGATGCTGTCATATTGTCTAACATCAATTAGAAACCAGTGTGGGATACGATCTATGAATTTGAGGTGCTTTGCTTTCTGAAGAGGCTTATAGTCCCATTTCTGGTGTCTTTTGGAATGAATGGGTGTTATGTCAATACCCTGAGTGGTAGAAGGAGAGCAACAGTCATGGGCTTCCTCACAAAGTAAAAAATGTGAGTAAAAATTCTGGCATTGTTAGAACGAACAACTGTTCATGAACTAGTGCATCCACAATGCCTGTATCATGACTGCTTCTCTTCCCTAAGACATGGGCGCAGATGGTCCATACTTGTCTGGGAGCCAGGTTTAGT